CCGGGCTGGGGATTCGAACCCGCCACCTTAGGTGTACGTGGCTGGCGCCTTAGCCGGTTGAGCTATAGGCGCCGAGCCTAGTCTTTCTTTCTTTCACTGAACCTGAGCTTGTTTCTATAGCATCCAGAATTTTTCTTTGTTTCTTATTCAGGAAAACAAAAAGGCATCCTGATGCCAACTGTCAGCTGGAAACATTGTTTGAGATAAATAAACACAACTACAAGCCCTGGTTTCTCTTCAGATTGTAAATGCAAGCACTTAACTTTTTTTTAATATAAAGGCCTAGGTTATTTCTAGAGGTTTGACGTATTTCTCTCTTTTGTTACTGGCAAAACATAACCACTGGAGCCCTGGTTAGTATCTGACCAGTCCAGCCACAAAGAGGAAACTGTGGATGCTGGAATAAAAGGGAAAGGCCTGGGAGGAGCAGTCAGACCCTATTTTATGCTTTATTCTTCTGCCGTTTCCGATTATTCGGCACAGCCTCCCTTCGAAATGACCACTTGACCTTTCCCAGAAGAGCCATTAACCTTCCATAGTCTGTAGCGTAAACAGCTTAATTTTCTGAGGGCGGCATGACAGAAGAAATTACAAAGGCAATTCCCACTCTCGGGTCCAAACAGATGCCAAATGTAAATCACTCCATTTCCACGAGGACATTCTGCCCTGGCGTCTCTGCCCGCCGCTCCAGCCTCATGGGCCAGCACCACTCAGCCTGCACCCTGTCCCGGGGGAAGACAAACCATCACCAGCGGCGACCCCCAGTCGATGACAGCAGGGTGACAGCAGCTCTTCACGGGTTCTTGGGCTGTTCTCAGAAGCTATAATGTGGCCCAAAAGCTGTCAGTTCCTTTCTCTGGTTTCTAAACACACAGAACCCCCATCAGCTACAGACCCCACTTATCTTTTCTTTTCTTTTTTTTTTTTAAGGTTCGGTTTCTGGTTTATTTGCTTTTTTATTTATTTATTTTTTATTTCTTATAGCATAACTATGTACATTAATGCAATCATAGGGTACAGTGTGCTGTTTTCATATACATTTTGAAATATTCTCATCAAACTGGTCAACATAACCTTCATGTCATTTTCCTAGTTATTGAGTTAAAACGTTCATACTCTGCTTTTAGAAAGATTCACTTGTACCCTTGTAAGATAAACCATAGAGGTGACCCCACCAATCCCCCTCCCTCCCCCATCCGCCCCTCCCTCCCAACCCCTCCCAACCCCTTCCCATATTCTTTCTTTTTTTTTTTTTTTTGAGACGGAGCTTCAAGCTATCCCCCGGGTAGAGTGCCATGGCATCACGCTCACAGCAACCTCCAACTCCTGGGCTCAAGCGAGTCTCCTGCCTCAGCCTCCCAAGTAGCTGGGACCACAGGTGCCCGCCACAACGCCCGGCCATTTTTTGGTTGCAGCCATCATTGTTCTTTGGTGGGCCCGGGCTGAGGATTCGAACCCGCCACCTTAGGTGTATGTGGCTGGTGCCTTAGCCGCTTAAGCCACAGACGCCGAGCCCCCTTCCCATATTCTAAGGCTATAATTAGGTTATGACATTCCTATAGAAGTTATGAATTAGTTTCAAAGTAGGGGTGTGTACACTGGATACTTTTTCTTCCATTCTTGAGATACTTTGCTAAGAAGAATTTTCCAATTCCATCCATATAAACATGAAGGAGGTAAAGTCTCCATCCTTCTTTAGGGCTGCATAGTATAATCTTTTCTTTTTTAACAAACCCTTGCCTAACCACTGGACTTGCTGCAGTGTTACAAAGCTGGAAGCAACTGATTCCATTTTTTTAATTTTTCAACAACATTCTCTTTTTTTTGAGACAGAGCTCCACTATGTCGCCCTTGGTAGAGTGCTGTAGCGTCACAGCTCACAGCATCCTCAAACTCTTGGGCTTCAGTGATTCTCTTGCTTCAGCCTGCCAAGTAGCTGGGGCTTACAGGCGCCTGCCACAATGCCCAGCTATTTTTTTGTTGTAGTTATCATTGTTGTTTAGCCAGCTCGTGCCAGATTCCAACCCACCAGCCCTGGTGTATGTGGGCAGCGCTCTAACCACTGTAGGACGGGTGCCGAGCCTCAGCCACACTAAACATGAGCTATTACCTATAATCTGAACAGTGCACAGATATGTGGTCAAACATCATTCTGGAGGTTTCTGTGAAAGTGTTTCTTGGATGAGATTAAAATTTAAATCGGCGGACTATAAGCAAAGCAGATAAACCTGTACACTGTTGGTGGGTCTCATCCAAGCAGCTGAAGGCTTTCACAGAACAAAGCCTGATCTTCCCTGAGCAAGAAGAAATTCACCAGCAGAAAGCCTTAGGATTCAAAGGCAACTCTTCCTGAGTCTCCAGTCTGCCTGTCCCACCCTGCAGTTTTTGGACTTACCAAGCCTCCACCATCAATCTCTCTCCCTCTCTCCATCCTCTAGGTTCTTGTTTCTCTGGAAAACCGGGACTAAGGACATATTTAGTTTCATAAATACACTAGAAATTTTAGTTCCTAAAAATGTACATATGGCTCGGCGCCAGTAACTCAAGTGGCAAGGGTGCCAGACATATACACCAGAGTTGGCAGGTTCGAATCCAGCCCAGGCCTGCCAAACAACAATGACAACTATAACCAAAAAATAGCTGGGCGTTGTGGCAGGTGCCTGTAGTCCCAGCTACTTGGGAGGCTGGGGCCAGAGAATTGCTTAAGCCCAAGAGTTTGAACTATGATGCCACAGCACTCTACCTGGTGCGACAGCTTGAGACTCTGTCTCAAAAAAAAAAAAAAAAAAAAATATATTTTTCCCCCTTTTTTTTTTCTTTTTTTTTTTTTTTTTTTTTTTTTTTTTTTCGAGACAGAGCCTCAAGCTACCCCCCTGGGTAGAGTACCATGGCATCACAGCTCACAGCAACCTCCAACTCCTGGGCTCAAGCGAGTCTCCTGCCTCAGCCTCCCAAGCAGCTGGGACCACAGGCGCCCACCACAATGCCCCCTGGCTGCAGCCATTATTGTTGTTTGGCGGGCCTGGGCTGGGGATTCGAACCTGCCACCTTAGGTGTATGTGGCTGGCACCTTAGCCTCTTGAGCCACAGGCGCCGAGCCTCTCCTTTCTTTCTTAAAACATCTTTTCACTTGCCTTTTTTGATAGAGGCATAGCATGAGGAACTATTTCTGTACTATGAGAAAAACAAATGGCATGTGGCAAAAGGCAGCTGACTTTGAAACTTGGAGGGCAGTAGGGACTGGTGGGGTCTGTGGTGACCTGTAAACAAGGAGACAGTAGCTCCCACTGAGGTGCTGTGTACGCTAGGAATGCAAAGCTCAGTATTGTCAGACGTTCTGATTCTTTCAGAGAATCCAAAAATCTGAGTATTTTATGTGGCATTTCCTAATTTTAAAACACAGGCTGAAAAAATAAGACTTGAATGGGTTAAACATTCTAGAATGTTGCTTAGTGGTGACAAGCACAGGCCCTGGGGCCATCCAGGCCACAAGGCATTCCTGGTCCTGCCAGCACTCACCAGCTAGGGGACAGCAGCTTACTTATGTCCCAGAGTTTCCACACCCCTACCTGCAAAACAGTAATGACCCTGCCTACAGCTCACAAGCTTGGGGTCAGAATTAAACAAAATGGAGTATATAAAGTGCTTAGCAATGCCCAGTGGGTAAATCAAAAGTCCTTCCTGTGTCTGTTCAATTAGTTGGCTCTACTCAGCAAGCAGAGGCAGTGAGTGCCCAGTCAAATACTTCCTAAGCAATGGCTTCAGAATTCCTGCATTGCATGAGAAACTGAGAGAGGGACTCCAAAGTGTCCTTGCAACTTCAAGAGCCTGTAATTCTAAAATTCTAGTGCTGCTTCTGTTGATGACAGAATCGATCTGCATAGCTTTCAGGAAAGCAACTTGGCAATATGCTTCAAGAACCTCAAAATGCTCGCTCTGTAAGTGTCTCGGGGGACGTCACCTGAAATGAACAAAGATGCTCATCACAGCCTTCTATGGTAGAAAATCAGAAACCACCCAAATGTCCATCAACAGGGACCAGGTTAAAACAATTACAGGACACCCACACTGTGGGACGACTGTGCCGCAGAGATATCCACTGATTGCACGGGAAGCCATTCACAAATGTTGTTTGGTGAATAATAAAAAACAGGACAAGGTCAAGTTTATTACTGATGCTGTGAATACATCCATCTGTAATGATCTATTCACACAGGAAACCATTTGGAAGGACATATACCAAAATGTTGACAGTTGTGCAGTACTTGTGTAGCACTGAAAATACTTTTTGTTTTCTTCTTTTGCTCATCTATATTTTCAAATGTATTTGTCAATGATATCTAAGGAAAATAACCAACACTGTTGCTTTAAAGAAACAACAGGATGTCGAGGCACATGTTAGAGGTCGCACAAGCACCACTTTCCAGAGCCCGCATTCTGCAGCCACAGATGTGCAGCACCCAGACCAGAGTAGCCCAGAGGCCCTCAAGCCTAATTTTCACTACTTGGGTGCCCCTTGGGACCATCCTTCACCATCCTGTGCTATATCTTGTGCAAACTCACCTTCTCCTTCTTTGCTCTGAACTTGAGATAACCAACTCTTGGCCTCTGAGACGTCCCATGGGTTCTCCATCTACAGTGACGTCCCCAGGCCCAGCTTCTAGCCCAGGGGCCACATGGAAGCTAGATTCTGACTTCCTAAAGAAATGATAAGAGGCCAGGCATGGTGGCTCATGCCTGTAATCGTAGCACTCTGGGAGCCAGAGGCGGGTGGACTGTCTGAGCTCACAGATTTGAGACGAGCCTGAGCAAGAGTGAGACCCCCATCTCTAAAAATAGCCAGGCATTGTGGTGGGTGCCTCTAATCACAGCTACTCAGGAGGCTGGGACAAGAGAATCACTTGATCCCAAGAGTTTGAAGTTGCTATGAGCTGTGATGCCACAGCACTCTACCAGGTGTGACAAAAAAAACGATTAAAGGAGAGGAGGGAAGAAATGAAGAGAAAAAACAAGAAAAAGAGACAGAGGGAGAAGGTCACCTGTGTTTCCTCCATACCCCACTTCCTGCCGTCTCTGGCATCCTTCTCTCTTGATTCCTAAGTCACAGAGAGCCAGAAAGCACCATACAGAGCCATAAGCAGCGACTCTCCCTGGAATCCACTTACCCTTTCCCCAGGGATATGAGCACAGGATTTTCCAGTTCCATGAGCACCTGAAAGGCTTTGTTCATGTTTTGATAAGAAAAGCCTTCTCCCGCATCGGCGATTACAACACAGTTTGGGTTGGACATGTCGATCTCGTCAAATTCTGAGCGGAGTCCTGGAAAGACAGTGAACAAGTACATGAACAAGCCCAGGACAACACGGCCTACCTCCCAACTCCCGCCAGGGACACCTGTTCATGAAGTCTGCCCTCCCCCCTTCTTTCCAATCCTCACAGCTGCCATGAGAAGTGGACGAGAAACACGTTCTATTCCCATTTTACAGATGAGGGCATTCCAGGTCCCCACAGTTAGGGAGCTTATCTGAGAAAGATGGACTCATTCCCAGGACCCTCTGTCCCAACACCAGCATTAGCCAGAGGCTTCCTTAGTTTAAGGGTGGAAACCCACAGCTTTGCAATAAAGAAGGAAAATCTGCATGGAGGACACAGACTCTCGGCAGCAGGATGAAGTGAGGCTGCTTACAACCCTTGGAGGACTGATACTGCTGGTCCCAAACTGGAAGAGCCATCAGCGCATTTCAGGTAAACCCGCACGTATGTCCTGAAAAAGAGGAGACTCCATCCCCATCACCAGCCTCGTTCTCTAGCTCCCTTTGGAAAGTCTCCTCCTCCTTCTCTTTCTTTGTCCTGTTCCTCCATTTTAAATTAAAATAGGAAAAGTGGCAAGGACAGAGTCTTTTTCTTTATCAGTTCCTAGAATAAACATGCTCCCATGCCCCTTAGTATTAGATGCCGACTTCCGTGGATTAAAAAAAGGGAAGTAACCAGGATGAGATGCCACTTCATATCCACCGGAATGGGGAGAATTAAAGAAAATTGATAACACCAAGGGCCAGTGAGGATGCTGAACAGCTGTAACAGACAGAGAGGGTGTACAACAGTAGAATTCCTCTGGAAAAACGTCTCCCAGTGTTTTATAAAACTACATACACATGAACCTATGAGCCACCAATCTCAGTCCAAGGTATTTACCCAAAAGGCTTCTACAGGAATGTTCATAGAAGATTTATTCATAATGACCTGATATTGGAAACAACCCAGTGATGTATCAACCTGTGAATGAATGAATGACCCGAGCTATGTCCACTCAGGGGAGTACTACTCTATAATAAAAATGAAAAACTTCTGGTGCATGCAACAATAAGGACGAGTCTCAAACACACTGTATTGGGTGAAACAAGTCTCACAAAAAGACTATTGTGAAAGAAAGAGTTAATTCAGTAGGCCTGGGTTGCTCAAACCCTGCACATTCCAAAGAAAGGCCCATCTCAGGACTGGCCCTCTACCAGCTCCTGAGAGATAACCTCTGAGCCCTTGCAATATCCAGCTTGATAAGTGGGGTTTTGAATGCCTGAGGCCTTAGGCCAAATGTATCAATTTGACCAGATAGTTCATGCTAACAATGTGATTCATGGAAAACAGCTGCTTTTTGTATGCCTGTAGCCGTGGGCCACACTGGATCAGTTTGAACTCTGGGGGAGGGGCTGGGGAGCTGCATGGCTACCTGACCTAAGCTTAATGACGCTTAATGAGAACCCTGGACACTGAGGCTTCACTGAGCTTCCATGGTTCCTGTGTGCTGTCACACAGTATTTCTGGGAGAATCAGGTATGGCTTAGTCCAAGTCCAATACCAGGAGACAACTCATACCTGGTTCCTCCTGGCCTCCGCTCCCTGTGTTTCCTCCCTGTGCTGAGTTTAACCTGTACTCTGCCACTGTAATTAAATATAACTGTAAGTGTAACAATCATGCTGAGTCCTGTGGGTCCTTTCTAGTGACTCACTGAGCCTGGGGTAGTAGCACTGGGGGCTCCCAGCACAGTGATATACTGTTCATTCTACTTATATACAATTCCAGAATAGGCAAACTTATTTATAATGGAAAAAAAAATCAAAGTAACAGTTGCTTCTAAGGGCTTCCTAGTGGGCCCGACTGGGAAGGGCACCAGGGAATGATCAGTGACGGTGACAGAGATCCTGATGGGGGCCGGGCTCCACAGGTGTGTACATTTGTCAAAACTCGGCAAAAGTACACTTGAAGTCTGTGCATTCCATTCCGTGTAAATTTTACAACAACAGGAAAAACTATAAACGAATCTTAAACTCTAGTTAAGAACATGCTGAAGCGTTTAGAGAAGTATACCAATATCAGCAATTTACTTTGAAATGTATCCAAAAAGTAACAGGGATAGATGGATGAAGGGATGGATGGATACTGAGTGAAGAAAATCATGAAGTGTCATTGATAATTTAGGTGATGAGTATAAAAATATTCCAAGTAAAAATTCTTTGAGTTGTGCTGTATGTTTGGAAATTTTCAAAATAAAATGCTGGGTTGAGTGGAATCCATCAACAATAAACCTTGAAAAAAAATTCTAAGTCTAAAGACGCAGGTACATTTGCTGAAAACACAGTGCAGGATTATAGTGGAGGGAAGGCACCTACCTTCCCCTCCGGCCCTCCCAGGCTTTGCCATCTGCTTGTCTGACCCCCTGACTAATGCCGCCTTCCAGGCAAGTGCTGGCTTCCCTCTCCTCCCTGCTTCTTCTAGCCCACTCCCAGGTCTAGCAACCCTTTTCTGCGAGCTGGGGAGGAGAGAATTTCTTTCTTAAGTCCATTTTCTTTGAAGACCATGTTCAAAAGACATTGGCAGGAATCCTAGATTATAGAGAAAGGATTTTGAGAAACATGATTTCTAAAGACTGGGCATGTCGCCCTCAACCGGCGCCAGGGCTATGAATTCAACACTTGGCCCTTCCAGGGAACACCCCCCACCTCTTGTCCTGGGAAGGAAAAAAGCATGCTTGCCTCTGCCCAGGGGTTTGTAAAAATAAAAATATCAAGTGCAGAGGAAGGAAGAAGGCTCAGGGGACTGACAGAGAGGTCAGTCCTGAATCCTGACGAGCTGCTCAGGTCTCTCCTTTCTAAACATTCAGAAGGCACCAGATAATGCTCCTTCTGCTTTGTTCCCCCCCAAAACTCCCCCTTTGAAGGTCAAAGGGGCTCTTTTCTTGCATTCAGGCTAAAATCAGGATGCAAACCTTGTTCTTACAAGCCATTTGCAAACTGCTCCAAAGAGCAGGGCTGGTTTTCACAAACATATAATTGGAGGCTACAGACTGGTGAAAGCCATGGCCCTCCAGCTTCTCATTCATATTCCCTCTCTCAACAGGAGCTACAACTTTCCCCCCTTGACAATTCCCTGGCCCCTTGGTCCATCCTAGACCAAGGAAAGCCAGCTTAGGGTTTTCCTCCTAGGAGCCATCTGGAACCTGCTTCATTAACCCTCTTGTGTGGGGCCAGGGGATGTATGGGGCTGGACCCTAATTTGTCCCCAGTCCCCAGCAGGAAGCCCCATGAGGCTTCTGCTGCCAATGCCTCCCCTAGACCCCCCTGAGTGCTGACAGCAGATGTGTCCTTCCCAGTGGGTAACCCAGTCCCCTCCCCAAACCCTACCCTGGAGAAGGAGATCTCCCACCCCCGAGGCCCCAGCCCAGCAGGCCTACCTTCATGGATGAGCAGGTGTGGCCGAAGGCCTCGCTCCTTCAGGACCTGGCAGGTGGCTGGGGCTGGGGAGGTCACCTCATCCTCAGAGATGTCAAATCCTAGCCGCCGGAGCAGCCTCACTAGCTCTCCCCGAGATTTCTGTGACTCGTTGGTACAGAATCTCACCTTCAGGTGCGACCGCTTCAGTCTGTGGGGACATGACACACCGAGGGAGTTGTCAGCACATGGAGAGCGGGTGTCTGGGGAGGAAGCTAGGAACAGATGTGCCCAGGGCAGCCAGGAAGGCCCCCCAGCAGGCCAGGTCACAGTGAGTCCTGAGTGGCCCCAACTGACCCCAGGTGTGTTCATGCTAGGAGTTCTGAGCTAAAGAAGACCCCTCCTCAGGGTATCCCATACCATGATCCCAGACCCTCCTTTCCATCCTCACTGGACTTGACACACCTGAGACTCTCCCCAAGCTTCCTCCTCTGACTGTCTCTGTCTATGCCTCTCCTTCTACCTGGGAAGCATCTCTGCCCCCTCCATCTGTGGCAATTGTATCCACCTGCCAAGAGTCACTCTGTGCCTCCCCTCCACCAATCATCTTCCTTGGCCTGGCTGAAGGACACCTCTGCACCACCGTAGCTATTTCTGTCTCTCCCTGTGGCGTCCATATTTCCACTTTGTACCTGGACCCTACATGCCCATGCCGCATTAACTCTGGATCCATAGTTTCCAAAAAGTGCAAAGCACAAGAACCCAGCCCAGGTTTGTCACCTCATCGCTGTCAATGAAGAAAGGTCCACCAAAGTCATCAGGGACATGAACTATTCCAGGATGAACAGACAGACACCAACAATATCCAAACCCAGCACAATGGCAATGTGGTCCTGCGTGTTATGGGTGGTCAGCAGCACCAAGCTTCTTCCCACCCGACCTCGGGGAGCCCTGCCTCATCCCAGCTGCACTAGGGCAAGTTCTTGGAACACAAAACTACAAAGCAGATGCCTGAGCAGGCACCGCGTGAAATAGCATTCCCCTTCTATAGATTATTACTGAGCACCTCCTAAGTGCCTGGCTTGGGGAAGGGCAAGAATGCAGCCATGCACCCCATCCTCCAGGCCACAGTCAGGCAGGTGGGTGAGAGGCAGGCACCAAACAGGAAACCCCACAAAGTAAGGGAAAGGAGAGGGGCAATGCAGGACACTAGCGGGGTGAAGAAACAGAGGGCGACCAGGTGGGGAGGCCTCCCTGAGGAGTTAACTCTGGCTCTGAGACCTTCCAAGAGAGAAGGTTCCAGTGGGCATGCAAGCAGTGTGGGGACAGGGGCTCATTTCTACTTAGGAACTCTGTTCCCAGAGTTATCCTACAGAGGGGGAAAGGGCACGACCCAGTGTGGGGTCTTAGAGAGGACTTCCTGGAAGATCCAGGTCCACCCGGAGACCTGCAGGCTGGCCAAGGAGATGGCAGGAAGAACAGGCCTCCACTGCAGCAGGGCAGGCGTGTACAAGACTGGTCCTCTTGGGCAGAGAGAACAAGCAGGTTGAGGAATATGGAAGGCGGGCTGGAAGAGAAGGCCGGAGAGCAGGACCAGGGCGAGGCAGGGGTGAGCCAGGCACTCTGCCCCATTTTGAGGTGGAGGGAGGACTACCAATTTGGCCCTGTGTGGTGACGGCAACTAGGAAGGTGGCAAGTCTCAAGCCAATGTCCCCTCCTCCCACCATCCTGGGGGCCTATGCCCCTGCCCTGTCTCTGTCTCTCAGTTTTTCTTTATGACACTAGCCAGTATCTCGAATCACCCGATGTAGCCATTTGTTTACTGTCTTCATCACCAGCCCATGTGCCGCAAGTCTGGGGATGAGGTCTGTTCAGTTCTCCACGGCATTGCCAGGGCTTCTCACAGGGTTTAGTATACCAGGCCCTTGATTAAATGTTTGCTGAATGACTGACTAAGGGAAAAGTCTAAACAACCTCCTCTGCCACTTCTCCAAGGGTGTTCCTGAGCCTGCAGACCCCTTACAACCCCCGACAGAAACAGACAGGCTTCAGTGGTAAAAACACATCTTCCCAGGTCGGGAAGAGCCCCTGGGCCTTCCCAGCCCTCCCAGCTGACAGGTTCGGTTCAGGAAGAACTCTGTAGATCCACTGACAATGCGGGGACAGCAAGGCTGACAGTGTCTTCTTCAACAGCCCAGGTGATTCATTTCTTTCTTATTATTTGTCTTTCCTAATCAGAGGTTTATGAATTATCAATTACACTTAGTGGTTAATTGCCCTTCATAAAGATAGCTTTTTTATTTTTAAATTAGGCAGTTAATATATTGTAACTAATAGCATCACCTTGTACATTATGGATAGATCTTCATTGATTGGTGCCTGGAATGTGGGATTCACACCCAAGTTAATGGAGCAGTTGAGTGAAGAAGAGCAGGGGTCCCGGGGGACTAATTATTGCTAATGAATGATGATGTGACCTTCTCAGAACAGTGAACAATTGGTGTGACAGTGAGATGACAGTGCCTCACATCTGTTATTCCAAACACAACTTCAGATGAGAGTGAAAAATAAGTAAACCACAGAACTCACTTTGGTCTCCTGTGAAATACCAGCAGGCGTGCATCCAAAACATACACTTTAAAAACCAAGTACTAGTGTTAGAGAGAAAAGCTGATCCTAAAAAATCTAGCGGGAGACGCTTGGGCAAGTCCTTTGGGTTCTGCCCGTTGGAGCCTCCAGACAAAGCCCGTGTTTAGTGTGCCACCACAGACGCCCAGGACCGGTCCCAGATCGTCTCTTTCTTATTTTAAATCATTGAAAAGAATAAAATTATTCACAATTATCATCAAAAAGGTAAACTATTAATGCAACATTATATTGAGACTTGCCTTGGGTGAGCACGGTGCCTCAGGCAGCCTCAGGCTCAGAGGTGGCCCTCACTGGGTATGTGTGGACAGAGTGAACGAGCCTGCAAGGCAGGAACCATCATCCTCGCTCTAGAGGCAGAAAACAGAAGCTCCAGGAGGCTGAGATCTACCCAAGGTCACACAACTCTCAACCACCTTGGGTGAAGACACTGGGCCCTGGCCAAGGGCCAGCAGCCCCAGAAACAGGCCCAGCTGGGCTCCTGGACATCTTGCTGGAGGGCAAATGAATGAAGACTGCAGCTGGGAGGGGTGTGTGTGCAGCTGGGTGACAGAAAGTGTGAGGTGGGCCAGTGACAACAGGGTGCCACGGCCAATGATACAGATGGAATTGTGGTGAAGCCCTAGCCCTCAATGTGACTGTATTAATCCAGTACATGAAGGGTGGAGCCCTGATATGATAGGATTAGTGCCCTCAGAAGGGACATCAGAGCTCCCTCGCTCTCTCCCCCTTCCCCTTGAGGCAGTCATGTGAGCACCCAGAAAGAAAGCTGCATCCATGCCAGGAAGGGAGAACTCCCCAGAACTCAGCCACACTGACCCCTGCTCTCAGGCCTGCAGCCTCCAGAACTGTGGAATACAAATGCCTCTTGTGGAAGCCCCAGTGTGGGACTCGTTATGGCAGCCCAAGCCCACCAGGACAGCCAAGAAACCAAATCCTTGCCTTCTCTCGGCAGGGTCTGCTGCCAGCTGTCACAGATTGGCCCTGGGAGCCCCAAATCACAAGAATTCCAGGTCAGGAAGGCCCAAGTCTGCGAGGCTCCAGGACCCGGGCGCACCTTGCAGAGAGCTGCTAAGAGTCCCTGCAAAGAGGGATTTCAGCAGGGAGTAGGCCAGCTCTGAGATGGACCGCCCCGACCCCCAGCACCAAGACCCCCCAGGGAAAAGGGCTTCTGCAGGCCCTGCTGCTGGACGGCCATTCTGAGACCACAGCCTGCCTCAGCATGTGGCCTCTGCCCCAGGAACCCTGTGAGAGTGGGGGTACACTCCCACTTCTGGGGCCCAACTGGATTTTTGCACTGACCTTCACCCCCTCCCAGCAGGCCAGGACGAGCCTCTGAGTGACAACGTCGCCTGGTGCAATTACCATGCATCAGATGAGCTGGTCCCTTACAAATCACCTCGGACTTTACACATCTGCTGGCTGTCGGCATCTGCCAGGAGCGCTCACCCGAAAATAATGAAAACCCTCGCATTATTGTTCCATAGCAGGTAAAGTGTTAGGACAATTATTGGACATCCTGAGTGACCTTGGGACAGCTCAGCAGCCTACCCTCTGCAGCTCATCAAAGGCCTGGAAGCTGGAGAGGGCTAGGGGCTTCCCTTGGAGGGGCTGGAAAGGGAGGCGGGCAGGAGGCAGGAGGCTGCCAGGGCACTAGCACCACAAGACCCCCCAGCGGGGTCTCCCCTCCCCTCCAGGCAGTGGAATTTGTCACCTTTGCCTGGCCCAGACCAGAGGCCCTCTTCTCACCCTGACCTTTGCATTCACCCTCCCCTACAGCCAAACCTTAGTCATCCTACAAGGGTTCACATCCCTTTCAACCCAGGCAGAGCCCATGCCCACACTGGGTGTGCACAGCCCTCCCCGCTGCTCGCTCTGTTCACGACCACCTTCCTTCTGCCTCCTCTGCCAGCCCAGGACTCTCAGAGGGCTGGGCTATGTGCTATCAGCACCCTGCCCACTCCTGGTGCCCAAAAGCAGCTGAGCTGAGGGCAGTACCTGGGGGCATTCTGGTGCATGACCAGCCACATCCCAAGTGACCAGAGCCCTGCTTTATCAACATGTGTATCACCTTGGTGTCTTCTAGGTTGGGCTGTGGGGCTCTGGGTGGGCAGCACCCAGGCCCAGGGTCATGGATAGAAAAGGGGCCCACCAGGTGCTCAGGGGGCTATGGGGAGCTGCTGAGCAGGGCCACAAGGGACCCTGGGGTAGTGTCATCAAAGGGCTCCAGGTGGCAGTTCACTGGACATGCTGCCTGGTTCACAAAGGGAAGTCTGATTTTGGGGAACAGCAGCTCGGAGGCTCACAGGGGCCTAAGACAGGCAGGATATGACGGCACTTTCCTGTGCCGAGTCCCTGGATGCTCTCTAGGTTTCTACCCAGAACGTATCTGGCACGATACCAGCGTGGAGCAGGAGGATGCTTCACTGAGAGAAGCACCTAAATGACCCAATTCCAATTGGATGGGCAAGCGGAAGGGGAGGTGGAGGGGGACAGGGAGGGGCATTCCCCCACCGGGGTCCAGACTCCCTGACTCTCAGCCTGGTCTTGCCTCTTGGGGCCACA